TTTAATGACAAACTATAAAGTTGATATTAATCATACCCAGATATTTAGGACTTAAATATATTTTTAATTAAGTATCGATAACTAAAAGTGAAAGAAACATGTGAATGGACAGGCTAGAACCTTGTTAATATTGTGAAAGATGCCTCCAGTCAGACTTTCCAAAACAGATTATACCAGTTTCATGGTAAAAATACTAAAAGGCTAGGTGTCATAAAACATGAAGCTTATAAAGAAATGTGGTAATTAAAATTCTGCAGTTTTTGGAATAGCTTATGAAAAAATATAAATATTTCCAATATATCCTCTCACTACGTTTAATGTTGAAAATATATATTGACCCTCAGGGTTAAAAAATTTTGAAGGCACAAATACACTGATGACTATCTACAGCTTTTGTAAGTGAAAATAATGAAAACCCTTCTCTTCCTCATTTGAAACCCAATTTGTGATTTAGCAATATGCATGCTCATATTTAGCAAGTTCGCAAGGCTCAAGATAAATGTACATTTATAAAATTAGATGATCAGCGAAATTTGTTTTTGAAAAATGCCTTTGATTTTTCACAAGAGTGTGGAAAATATTGCAAATGAGTCAATGCTCTTTAGAAAAGATCCAAGGGTCATGGCTATGTCTTGAAATTTATGTTTGCAACACTGAGCATAATTCCATGCATAAAATAAGTTGAATAAATTCTTGATGAATGAATAAGTTAAGGGTTTGATTTTATAAAACATAAACACAATTAAATGATAGTGCTCCAAAATACTAATATTAATTATACAAATAGAAACTACTGAGGTAAAAATATGAACCAATTGCTATTGAATTTGTGTCTTCAGTAAGGAAAACATACAGCAGTCTATTTTTGTATTTATTCGAGGAAAATTGTCTTTTTGTTTAGACATTGTGATAACATCAGATATTTTCATACAACCAAAAGCCTCAAGGCTCAGTGCACCCAAACATTTTGAAACCTCCGACTAGATCTTATTACTGGATTTAGAACTTAGAAATTGGATGTTAATGAGTAGATTTATAACTTAGAAACTTTGTTTTATTTTTATTACAAAGTCAATATTTTTATATATTTTATGTAGCCATGCTTAAATTGAACAGGAAGAGGGAGGCAATATGGGTGTTCTGGGCCAATGAAACGTAAGCCACAAATAGACCCAACAAATTGTGCATGACGTAGTAGTAGATAAATGAATAAAAGTCTTAGAGTGACTAGGAGGTATGGATGGGACTTTTTCTTGAGCCATATGAGAAGGGTGGTGCCCACAGAACTGAGAATGAATTTTTCTGTATTCCTGCTATAAGGTATATAAAATACCACAGGCATAAGATGTAAAATGCATGAATTCTATAGTATCATGGTCATCCTTGACTCCTCACTTCCTCTTACAGGCCATATCTTCCCACCAGATTTCTTTAACTTACGTCCAGAATCTGGCTCACCTTCACAGCCACCACCATTGTCTTAAACACCATCGTCATTCACTTAATTACTTGCAACAGCCACCCATCAAGCCTTCATACAAGGCACCCATTATATGCCTATATTTTCAATAAAATAGGGGCTGATCATTTTATTTTTATTTTTAATTGAAGTAAAACATACATAAAAGAGTGTAAAGTACTCTAATATGAATTGAGGTTAATAAAGACATGGAAAGTATAAAAAATACTCCAATCTCAAGTATATAGGTGATTGCTTTTTTAAAATGTATATACCTGTGTTGTCACACTCGGATCAGAACAAAGGACACTTTCAGCATGCCTGGTCCCCTCCTGCAGATTTCCAGACTTTACCCTTCCAAAGTTCATCACTATTCTGATTTTGTTTTCATTATTTACTTTTACACATCTTGGATTTCATGTAAACTGGGGATAAAAAGTATACACTCTTTTATTGGCTTCCTCTGCTCATCTTTATATGAGATCTCTGCAGGTCAGTTGCTTAATCTGTAAAGAGGAAGGTAGGCTGACCCTGGGAGCTAAAATCTGACAACAAATTGATGTTCAGCCCCAACCCACAGAATTTCTGATTTATATTGTCTGGAGTCAGGCACAGAAAATTAGTATATTTTTAAAAATCCCAAAGATAATTGAACCTGTATACTCTGAATCAAATGATGTCTCTCCCCTCCCCTTTCCTCCCCATTTCCTCCTTTTCTCTCCCCCCACCACCCCTCCACTCCTTTCTTCCAAAAGTACAGGGATGGGCTGGCCACTGCTCCTTTTTACCTCTATTCTTCCTGAAGTGTGCACTGAGCACCTATCAGATACTAAACACCATCTGAGGTTGCTGAAACTACATGAGTCAACAAAATGTAGTTCCTATGTTCCAGGGGCTTGAAGTCTCAAAAACCCCATGCCTGAATATATAAACAAATATCATTGAATATATTATAATAGAGTAGGCTTTAATAGTCCTACTGGAAATTAAGTATTCAACTACTTGTTCTATTGCTGTTACTTAACTACTATACCAGTAATGCAGAACTGAATTAACTATCTTGAATTGTTGGTACTCCTAATGAATAACTATAAAGGAATATCCCAAAATGTTGAAAGCCCCTGATAAATCAACTATGTAAGGAATATAGAATGCATTTTAAATATTTTTTTCCTCTACTCTTTTAGGGCCCTTTTATTTTCCTTTCTAATTTATGGTGCATGCTGAAAGAGCTCTTGGTCTCCGATACCCACTCCAGGCACCAGTTTGCTTTTAAGTGGTTTCAAAGGTAGCCAAAAAACAAAAACAAAAAGAAAAAACAAAAACAAAAAACCTATCTTACATTCTTAATTACAGACTCTATCTATTAACCTTTTGTGATTCTTACAGTGAATTAATCTGTTCAGGTATAATAAAAATAACTGAAATTTAGGCAATAATAGCCTGTGAACATTTTGCTGTAAATTATGTATGTTTGGATCAGGAATCTTCCTATTTTCTGTAAAAGGTATATAATTGCTATGGAGTTAACAACAGCAAGACTATTAGGGTGAATGTTTGAAAATATTCAGTTCAATTCTCTTTCTCAGTATTAGACCACAGTAATTATTTAGTGTGTTTTTTTTTACTTGTTTGTAATGGTCCTGGAAAAAAAGTTCAAAATAATATTTTAGATGGATACAATAGAATATCATCTTTTTCCCATTTCTTTTCCTTCCTCCTCAATTCCTTCCTTCCAAGTCTTATTTTATAGTAGCAAAGTGAAATGTAAATAAAGAATGTAAAATATATTTCAGCACCTTAGCATTATTGGATATTCACATGCTAATGAGCAAACAAGGTCTGTTTGATCCTGTTGGACTTAGTGACTTCAAATCTATTGTTTCAATAGAATAATTTAAATAAAACTTACTTTTTGTTTTTTAGTAAAACTTATTTTGAAATAAATCCGTAAAATCATTTTTCACAAAACAAATGTGTAGATCTTGGCTGCATTTTTAAGCAAAGAATATCTAATTGAATGTTATTAATTTAGTTTTGCATAAAATTACATTTAAAATGGAATGTAAATTGTTGTCCATTTTATAAGGACAGATTTTTAATCTCTTTTTTTTTCTTTTTCTTTTCTCTAAGAGACACTTTGACCTTGCTGTGAAGCTAAGCTAGAGAGGACATTGGCAGAACTTTGTATGTCCATATGCATAGATTTGGATGATAATTTAATATGACAGAAAACAATACCTTGCCAAGGATTAACTTTAAATCTTCTATTTACTTTAGAACTCCAAGATTTATGGAATACCAAAACAACCCAGGGAGATGACTCATAAAGAAACAGGACTTTCTAGTTTCCTATACTCTTTTACAAATTCTTAGCTGTTTCACTTTGTTGTATAACATGATGGTCAGTATTGAGGTCAACCTGTAAAGTAACATAAATCAGTCATTTGGGTTTTGTTTGTTTGTTTGTGTTTTGTTTTATGTTTTTTGTTTGCATATCATTCTAAATGGTTACAAGCTAGTAATCATATCAAAACTAACTGTTTAGCCATGGCATCACATTTTTTTTTTTCAGTTGATTTATTTATTTGGAAAGAAAGAGCAAGCAGGAGAGGGGTAGAGAGAGAGGGAGAGTGAGAGGGAGAGAGAGAATCCCAAGAGGCTTCATGCTGTCAGCACAGAGCCCAACGTGGGGCTGGAACCCATAAACCGTGAGCCGAAACCAAGAGTCAGCTGAGCTACCTAGGCACCCTGGCATCACAATTTTACATTACAAAGCCAATACCTATATTTATTTAATCAGAGGAATATACAATTGTAGAAATACAAATACAGTTTTATTTTTTTTTCAACGTTTATTTATTTTCGGGACAGAGAGAGACAGAGCATGAACGGGGGAGGGGCAGAGAGAGAGGGAGACACAGAATCGGAAACAGGCTCCAGGCTCTGAGCCATCAGCCCAGAGCCCGACGCGGGGCTCGAACTCACAGACTGCGAGATCGTGACCTGGCCGAAGTCGGACGCTTAACCGACTGCGCCACCCAGGAGCCCCCAAATACAGTTTTAAAAATAAAGACTTGCTATGATTTAAGATGAAAATTCGCTTTATTTCTTTCATGCTGTATCAACCCTTCTGGCATATTACCAAATCTCACTGATTGAATCTCAATTACCTACATCCGAACATTCTGTAACTTGCATAAGCAACAGTCTTCTTCTATGGATGCTTTCGTTGAGACTTATTTGTGAAGCACAAAATCCAGATTTATGTTAAGTAGGTGGGTTGCTAATTTGTAAGAATGCCATTCTTGATCAGGCCTCTATGAATTGTTTGTAAATACCACACTGGACAATGCAAGCTTTATATTCGTTCTTCAGTTAGCTGGAAAAATTCTAGTTAAACTCTGGTAAAGATCTGTAGTATGAAATGAATGTAAAGTATTCATTCTTTCTTTATCTTACTCTCTGGTTTCATTTTAGCTCATTTGTTTATTTAAAAATAACCCTCTAAGTTGCTTTTTCACTGCTTTTCATATTACAGATTGAAAATGTTGATGTCTGCCTTAGTTTTCTAGCAGCCAGAGGAGTAAATGTTCAAGGTCTATCTGCTGAAGGTAAGAAAAGGCATAGTTGTCACAAATAACACCTAAGTTTGTAAAAAAAAAAAAAAAAAAAAAAATTTTTTTTTGTATTACAAGCAAAGTGGGAGCACAAAGCTTCTTAATATATAAAGGAAATCAGTAAAGTTTCCAAAATAATAGAAACATAAACGCAGTGGTTATTAACCTATGCTTTAATTATTTATATATGTTTCATATTTTGCCAAAACTGTTACTTACATGAATAAGTGTATGAGAGAGGTGTAGATTAACAAAAAATCTTTATGTTATTACCAGTGTATAGTATTTTTGGAGTCTTAAGTAGAGGGATAGATGTATACGTAGATAACGCTGTGTAATAGTGGACCTAAATACAGGTAAAAATAGTATAATTAATTTGGAAATATTATTTTGTCAAGAAAATTTCTATAATATAAAATTGGTAGTCCTAGTTGAAATATTTGGTGAGCTTAAATTACGCACCATGAGGTCTTAAATAATTATCACTAACAATATTTAATAACTGTTATATATAAAAGCTTTAAAGTCATTAAAGGCTTAAAAGATCATCATTAAAATACAGAAAAGTGGGAAAAGACTGAACTGGTACTGTCATTGTTTTTTTCTGAGACTTTCTCTTTCACATATATTTTTAGGAAAACTTTTCAAGTGTTATTAATGAAATCTAGTTGTTAAAATTATGAAATAGCAAATCCTTTGAGATCTGCATTAACAAAAACCATCTTATTAGAATGTTAATTTATATATAAAAATTCTGCTTAATACTTGTATATACTCTGACAATTTAGATCTGTTAATGTTTCTACTATGACTATTTTCTCCGAATAGCCTTTTACCCGACACATACTAGAAATATCAGACACCTCTGTTTTAAAATTTTTGCTGCCATGGAAAAAGGAATTATGTGGCTTCTGAAATACAGTGAACATTTAGTAGAATTATTGAGCTTTCCCAATTTTTCTTCTATATTTATTTTTGTTGTTTTAAATTTCTTTTATCTTTTATATTTATATATGTTGCATAATATTAAATTACTCATTTGGTGGCCAACAAGTTTAGGTTCAAACCTAACTGATGGTTCTATAATTTTGAATAGAAGCTATAAAATTCCCCAGGAAAATATTTCACTTTTTTAGTGGTTAAAAACAGGTTAGAAAGGCTCCAGTTTGTTCCTTTTATGTCTCTTCCTTTTCATGGGACATCCTTTATTAACATAAACCCATTGGTCTTCATTTATCTTCTAAAAGTATATGAATGCTAAAAATGATTTTCTAAATTAATTAAATATGCATATTAATAAAACCAGAGATTTTTTAAAACCGCTATGATCATCCAGGGGTACATGGGAACATTAATACTTTCTTACTGTAGCCTCTTATCGATCAGACTAATTCTTCTATATCATGGCCACTGTGAGAAGGTTTGGCGGGGGCAGGATTCTCGTTCTCATTGTATATGAATAATGCCACTGTGGACTCCATGTGACATTTATAAACCATCAGAGAGCAACAAATCAGAATAGTTTGTTAATGCCCCTAAACTACAAAAAGGAGGCATAAAACCCTGACCTCACAGGAGGATGTATATTTTATTGCCAACAGCATGTTTTATTTAGAATGTGATTATAGGTTTCATAGCCTTATTTCAGACTTTACTTCCATCTCTACTCCTAAGTTTTAACTACAAGAGAAAAAAAGCTAGAGTCAGATTGTAGCTTACTTTGTACATTTAACTTTTTATTCAATATTAGAAACGTTTATAAAGGAGCTTGATGTATTTCTACTAGGATTTAGACATTTACATTAATTCAGTTATGTTATCTAATATCATGGTCTTTATTATTTATTAATATATAACATGAGTTATAAATAAAAGAATTGGAGTATTAAAAATTAATACGATGTTGACTTTATGATATATATGTGTACTATATATCTATCTACGTCCATCTATGTATATTTATAGATAGATAGCTATATTAATAAATTTATTGTTGGGTGATTTAGGACTGTTATAAATCCAGTTGCCATTACAAAGTACACCCATACCATCCTGATTGATAATGCAGGACAACCAACATTTAGGTGGCTTTTTTTCTCCACTTCAGAGCCATCACTATGTTGATAACAGCTGTGTATTTGTGAGGGCAGCAGAATGCTAATCAAATGATCAGCACAAGACAGCCCATCCGTTTGTAGGAAGAAGCAAACTCCAGAAAAATTGCAGTTAAGGATTAGCAAAGAGCATTGCTCATCCAAGTTTTGTTCTCTGTACCCCCCATCCCGTGACTCAGTCCCTGAAGCTCCGAGCTATTCGGAAATGCTACATGTCAGAAATTCACAAGTGACTGAGAGACTCTAGTTGCATTTCCATCTTCACAGATTTAGTCTAAGACAATGGCAACTAGAATTTCAGTTGTAAAACAAATAATAAAAAGGAAAACCACATTCATTTGTATGTTTTTACTGTTTGTATATTTTCCCTTTGATACAGAAATAAGAAATGGAAACTTAAAAGCCATTCTAGGGCTGTTTTTCAGTTTGTCTCGCTACAAGCAGCAACAACACCATCAGCAACAGTATTACCAGTCCTTGGTGGAGCTTCAGCAGCCAGTCAGCCACGCCTCCCCTCAGGCAGAAGCCAGTCAGGCCAAAAGCCAGCAAGATATGCAGTCCAGGTAAGGAGGGAAGCAGAGATGTGTTTGAAATCAACGTGTCTAGATACAACTCGTTTTTAAATGAGTTTTTGTTTGTGAGTTTGAAAAACCGATTTATGTCGTTGTATCAGTGTTATGATATTTTTTGACTAATGTGACACAAGTTAAAACCACTTTTCTTTTGGTTGGATGAACAACATTTATCACTTCGGGGATGAAATATTTGTGTTTGTTTTCTAGAGATGATTATGGTTTGTATCAAAGTGTGTGAAATGTCTTTCTTGTCAGCGATGCGGCGGGTTATTTCCTTCTGCAAATTATTACTTAGAATGTGCTATTGAGTCCTACTGTGTACTCCTATTCTCTACTCAATTATCTTTGAGTCTTTTGATAAATTCATTAAGTCTGTCAAAAGTTTCAGATCTGTTAAACATAGGGATTTGAGTGTTTGGGGACATACTGTTTTTAATGTATGATTGTGTGTGTGTGTGTGTGTATTTATAAACACACATGTATGTGTTCGTCTGACTTGATACTGTTGGCTCATTGTAGACACAGCCTGGGGTGAGGTGCTGACAAATCACGGCACCTTCCTTACCCTTCCATTACTGCCGTTTTCCAATTTGGACTTTCTATCAGTCAGGGTTCAGCCAGAGAAGCAGAACCAATAAGGGATTAAGAGATTTATTGTGAAGAATTGGTTTACATGATCATGGGGACTCCCTAGGCAAGTCTGAAATCCTAAAGGCAGCCGAGCAGGAAAGGCAGGCTGAACTTCTCTCAGCATGAGCCAAAACTTTTATATACAGGTGGAATTTCTTCTCTCAAGTAAGCTTCCATCCTGCTCTTAAGACCTTTCAGGTGGGGAATCAGACCTACCCAGATTATCTCGGATAATCTCTCTTAAAGTCAGCTGCTGTGGATTTTAGCCACATCCACAAAATACTTTCACAGCAGCACCTAGATTAGTGTTTGATTGAATAAGTGGGACTGAGTTGACACATCAAAAAATCATCACAGAATGAAATTAAGTTAACAAGTTTCATGCATACTGCTCATTTGTTGCTCATCAATGACCAGGGTATCAGGTCATTAGCTCTATTGTGTAAATAGCTGATTGTTTTTCCTTAGTGGGGTGAATGTCCAATATGAAAATACTCACCATGTTGAAGAGTATATATACATATCAAACATATGTAAATATTTAACTTTTTCCATCTTAGAAGACAAACCTGAAACTTAGTAACACTCAGTTTACCTTGAATTTGTTTTTGATATTTAGTATTGACTCAAAAAGTTAAAGTCCAAATTACATTCACAAAGCACACGCCCCATCCTTATTGTCAAATATTCAACAGTTCAGAAATCTTCTTCTCTTTCACCTGTCAACTAGCCCTTTCTTCATATTAGCCAATATTTCTTTTCTCTATATGAACATGTAAACTCTATTCCCTTTGGCAGATTTTATTCACTAATGAATTATTAAATCGATATAGAAAAATTAGAATTTTATCAAAAAATATAGGGTATACTACAGAGTTCATGGAGTGATAAAAGATATTTCTCATCACTCAATGCAGATATGTTTCTGTTCTTTAAGCTCGTCTGGGCTATTTATGATGTAAGTGAAATTATGCAAAAGTCAAAGTGAAAAAAAATACGGAGTAAGTTCTTTGGATTTCCTTAAGAATGGAGAGGAGCGGGAGGGGGGGGAAGGAAATAGCTTTTTATTATGTATTATTATTTGGAGGAGTTGGTAGAAAGAGATCTAGGTTGTAAAAACTGCCAGAAATAATAATTCCTAGAGTTTGGTGTAAGTTACTTAAACCACGGACAAAAGGCAGGAATAGTAGTGGAAAAAACATAGGAAGTTAAGTGGTATGTATTGTAGAAAACATGTGACCTCTGGAAGTGATATGGAGTATCATTTGTCTTTGCTTTACCTCATTCTATTTCTGTATCTGCCATGTGGAATTTCTTGCCCAGAAGTTCTCAGTGGTTATGACCCTTTTGGGGAGATTGTTTTTCTCATTCTTACTGGATATGCATGACTGTTATGGAATTGTGTTTTTTTAAGATACAAAACCCTATATAGTAGGCATGGTAATTTTACACCATTTTGGGGAGAGCCTGCTTATTTTTTTCTCTGAAAGGTTTTGAGGAGTATTCTTTTCACCGGTATCCTTTAAGACTGAGGCACACTCCTAAATAATTTTTTCTTATGATAAATTTAATTACTTTTAATTACTTTCTAGACCAATAATTTATAAATGTGGAGTACTTGCTGTAGTAAATATAGCACTTATGTCTCTGATGTAGAGGGGCTACAAGTCTTAATTTTAATAGAATTTATTATATGTTTTGAAGAATATTATTTCAAACATTAATACTTATTTCCATTTGTATAGATTTGGTCAGAGAATAGCCTATGAATTAGAATTTATGTGGACTTATGTACAACAATCGTTGTATGTATTTTTCAAAAGCCCGTAGTGATAATATACATAAGAAAGGATATCTACTATATGTCTTTATAGTAGAACCAAGATAATTAATGCAGAAAAAAATAACCCAGTGACACATTTATCTTCATTCTCCTGAAGTGTGAGTCATGAGTCATGATTTATGAAGCCTTTCTGTTGATTCTAAATCTCTTCCCAAGTAAATAGCTTAAATAACTGGTTGCTATAGTATTCTGGATATTTAGCCAGAAAATGTTCTTATATTTTTCTCTGTCAGCTCCAAAAAATTTTAAGGGCACATTGTTTCAGTTCAGTGAGAGTTTTATTTTGTTTTATTCTTTTTGTTTATTTAAAATAAATTGATGTAACTGTATATATTCCCAGAGTATTTTATACATTAAGAATTTGTAACTTGGTTTTGCTATTTTAAAAATATCTCCAAATGTTTTCAATCATTTGGAACATCTTTCATTTAAACAGACACTTTGACCTAAAGGTTAATAAGTATACAAGAGAGAAAATAAAACATGGACCAAGAGGAATCGAGTGTGGGTAACAGAGTCTCCTTTTTTGGTTTCTCAGCTCTTTCTCCACTTTCGTGTGCATGTTTGTGGGTATGTAGGCTCACATACATGAGAGCATACCTGTGTGTGTGTGTGTGTGTGTGTGTGTGTGTGTGTGTGTGTGTGTGTGTAAGTGTGTGTATCCTGCTCAGGTGGCAACAAGAAACTTGCCTCTAGAATCAAACTGCCTGAACCTGGATCCCAGTTCTCCCACTGCCTAATTGTGTGGCCTGGGGCAACTTGCCTGACGTCTCTGTGCCCATCTCATGAAGTTGTTTTTAGGTTCACTGGGTCAGTACAGCATAAGACACTGTGAACATATCTGGCACAGGTCACTCTCTGCTCAAAGCCTTGCAATGGTTCCAAGTAGCCCAGGTTTTCTCTCACCTTAGGCAATGTGTTCTTGCTGATCCTTTGCCTGGAATACTCTGATAGCTGCTTGGCTAAATCTCTCATCTGCCTCAAGTCAGCCGCTCATCTGTTGCCTTCCCACTGATGCTTACCTAACCACCCTTTTAACCCTGCCTGCGTCCCATCTCTGCTCCCCATTGCACTTCGCCATACTTTTTCTTTTTTTCCTTAGCTTAGCCTTAATCAACCTTTAACCTCAAATCACTTCTTATATCCGTTATTTATTATTGCCACTTCCCTCTAAAAGGCAAGCACTGGGGCGCCTGGGTGGCGCAGTCGGTTGAGCGTCCGACTTCAGCCAGGTCACGATCTCGCGGTCCGTGAGTTCGAGCCCCGCGTCGGGCTCTGGGCTGATGGCTCAGAGCCTGGAGCCTGTTTCCGATTCTGTGTCTCCCTCTCTCTCTGCCCCTCCCCCATTCATGCTCTGGCTCTCTCTGTCCCAAAAATAAATAAATGTTGAAAAAAAAAAAAATTTAAAAGGCAAGCACTATCAGTACAGCAAGATTTGTTATATCTTAATTACTGGTGTGGTAGTACTCGTAACAGTAATAATAATAGTAATAATTATAATAATAAGCACAGGGCCTTACACATAGTAGTTTTCTACGATTATTTCTGAAATGAGATAATGTAAGAATTAACAAATCTGTGTTCCACCTGTTTCCAATTTTAAATAGAAAGATGGGTAGTTGCAAGTGTAAGTAGTTCCAAATGACAATTGTGTATATTTATAAAATTAGTAGAATAAAAATAATTAAACATATCCTTGACTTGGGGTGGTCATGTTATTAAAATACAATTAGTTTCAAAATGATGTACAGTGGAAATTCTTATTATTCCTGGAATTATCCATTTGTAGTATCTATATTAAAATAAGGCGGGGACTCGGATTGTAAATTTCTTAAACGTTCCCCGGGAATACTTGGTTATATCTGGAGTGATAAAGCCTTGATTAATCAAGTCTTCAATTCTCAAAAATGTGAATATATTTAACATAAAAATTAAATTCTCTTTGTCAGTGATGTTTGGAAGGACTTTGCATGAGTAAAGATTAAAGATCTTGCTGGATTATGTAATGTAAAGCATCCTATTTGCATTTATTTAATGTGAATATAAGACTAGTTCCTCCTATTTTTCTGGCTTTTCTTTTTATTTTGAAAATAGTAAAGACCCTTTCTTAAACCAACTGGAAAAATATGAGAAATGTTTTAATAAAATTGATAAAAATCTTTAGTAAGAGTTGAAGTCATCGTTCTTTTCTGTAAATTTGAACTAGAAGATCAGAAGATACTATTTCTTTTTCTAGAAAAAAAGTAGGGAAGAATGCTTTAATTTTCAAACTCAGAAAATTCATTTGATCAGTAGGTATGTTTTGGGCATTCAGGTTATTTCTGCTAATCATACTTTTCCATGTGTTGAGTTTTGACCATAGAGTTCTAGTTGACATGGAAGATGACAGGAAGTTTAATTTCACCCAAATCTTACACAATGTCTGACACATGAGACTGGCCAGGAATGAGCAGAATGCATATCATGAATGGATAATCTTCCTAAGAATATCTGGTAAATCATTGTAGTGAAAGAA